CTGTAACTAATACCGTTCTGGCGAAAATAACCACCTCTGTAACTAATACCGTTCTGGTGAAAATCACCACATCTGTAGTTTATGTTCATGGATATTCACTTTTATAACATTCATCCTCAGACATGTGATGGGTCAATGGTTCACAAACTTTTTCCAACCAAGGGTCATTTATTTCAGATCTCAATATTTCACGTACCGCTTCGTACTTTTGAATTACATTGTAAAACAATATGCTTCAGAGGTTATGGTTTGAAATCATTGTGATAAGTAACAATTCTCTATACACAAAAACCACTGGCAAAACAATAGTAATGTTACTGCTATAGCAAAGACACACAGTCTACAGACAAACAAGAGATAATACTGTTCTAGAAAACATTTCAGGGATAAGAACCCTCTATTCGTGACCAATACATCCAGAGCACATATACACAAGAAACAGTAAAAATAATTGTTTATCTCAATCCATTCAGGCCACAAACTCAAAGAAATAGTACTAATCTGGCTGTGATTAATATAGAAGAGTCTAGATACTATAGATACGGGAGTAATAGGATTACAAGAGCAACTAACAGCAAAACACGAAATATGCCAATACCACAGTTATGGCAAAAATAACAAACATGCAAAGAAGGCTATAATTTGGCTACTGTCAGATATATGGGCATAGATATAGAAGACAGCAATAGTAAAGTTAAGGTCAAACACTAAGACCAAATACTAAAACTACAGCCACAGACATCTGGAGGATAGAACTACTCTAGAAACTAAAACTGTAGCCTGAGTTTTAGTACATTTCATCTGGAGGATAGAACTACTCCCTACAGTTTTGGTTGTTCCTGAGTTTTAGTACATTTCATCTGGAGGATAGAACTACTCTAGAAACCAAAACTGTAGCCTGAGTTTTAGTACATTTCATCTGGAGGATAGAACTACTCTGGAAACCAAAACTGTAGCCTGAGTTTTAGTACATTTCAATGGGTTGCACAATACTTTTCTAGTTCGTTGCCTTGGCCAGTGAGAGGCAGGTTTGTTGTTTTGGTTGAGCCAATGAAAATTGGCACAATATATTTTGCAACATGTAACATTCTGTGAAGGGAGAAATAGTAAAAAGAACATAAACGTTTTTGCCTGATTTGGAGGGTATACAATAGAAACTGTGGTGTCAGGCAACAGTGTGTAATAATGGCCATCAGAATGAGCACGATCATCCGAGATCTGGAGCATCATTCTTGTAAAGTCAAGGGCAAGACTAGATCTGGAACATCGTTCTTATAAAGTCAAGGGCAAGACTGGATCTGGAACATTATTCTTACAAACTCAAGGGCAAGACTGGATCTGGAACACCATTCTTATAAACTCAAGGGCAAGACTGGATCTGGAACATTATTCTTATAAACTCAAGGGCAAGACTGAATCTGGAACATCATTCTTATAAACTCAAGGGCAAGAATAGATCTGGAACATCGTTCTTATAAACTAAAGGGTAAGACTGAATCTGGAACATTATTCTTATAAACTCAAGGGCAAGACTAGATCTGGAACATCGTTCTTATAAAGTCAAGAGCAAGACTGGATCTGGAACATTATTCTTACAAACTCAAGGGCAAGACTGGATCTGGAACATT